TGCAGCAACCTCAAGCGAATAACCTGAAACCATCTTAATCTTTATCGTAAAACAAACCATTAAGGGGATACTGTTTGAGGTCTTGCACATTTCTGAATAACATAGGGTTGGTTCCAACACATCACAGGTAGATCCATTAATGTGCAAAACAAAATGCATTAAAACGAAGTGTTCAACCAAAGAACATTTTCCTGTGCAAGAAGAAGCTTTATTCATTCAATGCAGGATAGTGAATTTTCAAGCTTGCCTCACCCAAATAAGTCAAAATAGCAGTTCGTAGTTCACGAACCAGGATTAGCAGATGTACTAAGGTTGCTATATTAATTATATGCTGAGGATGGCATAACTGACAGTTAAGAAACCAGATCCAAATGTCAGGACTAGCCAGCAAAGTTGTTCGTCAGCAATATGCAGCTCTGAGTGTCTGCTGTTCAGCAGCATATATATTTTTTCAGTTAATGCCATGTCACCAGCATGTAACCATGCCAACACTTGGTTGGTCAGATTGGGTTCCTGGAAGAAGGAGGAACCAATATGTTTTCAACAATGTTCTGAAATAGTGTTGCACAATGCAAAGTTGTGAAGCCAGTCTTACAGGGGTTCTCTGCCAGGGGATTTGCATGGTATTGGTTGCTTCTCAATTCGCTGAGAGTTTTATTTATTTATTTTTAAAAAAATTATAAATCACCCACTAAAATATAAATTTCAGGATGGTCTCCTGTAATGTATACCATTCAACCCAATCAGATGGGCATCATATAACAACAACAACAACGCATTAAAGTGCCGCTGTGCTAGTCAATGCTGTGGACTATGTGCCTGCATTTGCAGATTCCTGGTCTCTTTGCTTATCAGTGACTCTCCAGGTCTGTGTGCAGCAGGAATGGGGACACTGTGATCTTCCAGATGTTTTTGGTCTACATTGGCCATGCTAGCAGGGAATGATGGGAGGGAGTTGAATCCAGAAATATCTGGCGAGAGACAAGCTCTCCATTCTTGGTGTACATGGAAGGGGAAGAACAGCCAGGAATCTCTCTCCTCAAGGGCAGCCTCACCCCCCTTCTCCTTATGCATGCCTGCGTGAGGAAGGATAGTTCCATCTCAGAGAGGAACTAAGAAGAGTCTGAGAAGCCTTCCTCAATTTTCACACAAGTGTCTATGTACCTATCCTTTTCCAATGGCTTTTGATTGCCTGAATAAATTAGCGTCTCCATGAATTTGATTAGTTGGCCTGCATTCTGCAGCTCTCATCCCACCAGCAAATCCATAACTTTTCTGACAAACTCGTGCCTTTCTCATCAGAACTCACTTACCAAAAAGGCCCTGTTTTGGAGAGAAGAGTTCTCTTGCTTGTTTGGGGCTTCCATTAATTATGATTCCGCTACATTCCCCATTCTCTGCTACTGCTGGATTCATGGGGAGCCTTTGCTCTGTCATTTTCGTTTCAGAGGAACCCATCTTTCCTTTCTCCCAGGAGGATCCACAGATCTCACAGTAAATGCTACTCAGTTCTAGTTACACAGAGTTTTGCAATTTATTGAGATATAGTATGTTTTCCACTTCTTTGTTTTGTCTTCCTGACTCCTTTTATTCCTAATGAAATGAAAGCCTCTTCAGAGTCTGAAGCATCAATTCTGTGCTTTTGCCAGAAAAAAATTCATCACAACATCAGTTTTTGCCATAGCATCAACGTCCCAAGAATCCTCTGTGGAGACAAAATTACAGAGCGGAGAAATAAATCATCTCTTCTTGAAGTCTTTAAAAGGTGCAGTTTTGCTTCCATACTAGTATACTCCCCACACAACAGCCCTAAATGTGGTCTTACATATATTAATTTACAGAGCTGGAAAATTCATATATGAAATATTGCTTCTTTTTAGTCTAAATGATTACAGTAATATTTCTACATTTACTTGATGAAATGAAAGCATAGAAAGTGAAAGTGAAAGGGAGCAGCCATTGTATTATATTTCTCCCCAATCTCCTCCTACCCAGCTCCTCCTCCTCATGAAGCCTGTTTTCCAAGCCTAATGAGGAAATGTCGCTCTCCTCTGCACACGTTCCAGTTTGTCAACATCCTCCTTAAATTGCGGTGTCCAGAAATGGACACAGTTGGTTCCTTGGGGTCATCATTGTAGTCACAACAGGAAAACCTGTTTTCCACTTCCTTTGCAATCTCACCATTTCAGCTCTTCGGGATTGAGGGTCAGGAAATTCTATCCCTTCCAGAGAAGAGCTGTCAATCCTCTGCCTATCTGGTTGCCTAGCATCTATGCCCCCTTCTTTGAAACTTGCTCAAACTGTCTCAGGAAACCAATATATTGGTAGGAAAGGGGGAGGGGCTGGGTCTGCTTCCTCCTGCAGCCTGTCAGGTTCAGAGTCAGAGCCTGTCTTTCTTCCATCTCCTTCCTCGCTTGACTCCCCATACCTAAGGGGCCATTACCAAGATTTTAGCCCTTGCTGGATCTAGGAATTAGCAAGGGTCTCAGGCATGCAGCCTAGCCACCCCACCCCATCTCCTCCGCTAAACTTACAACAATATCTAATTGGGAAGCTACTATGCAAATATAGGACCACCCACTGGCCTGGCATTGAGAAAACGTGAGAGAGAGCAGCCCCTGTAAGATATTTGAAAATGGCTACCGTATCTCCCCTCAGTCTCCTCTTTCCCAGGCTAGACATAGCCCAGCTCCTCCTCCTCATAAAGCCTGTTTCCCAAGCCTTATAAAGAAATGTCGCTCTCCTCTGGACACGTTCCAGCTTGTCAACATCCTCCTTAAATGGTGGTGCCCAGAAATGGACACAGTGCTCCAGGTGAGTGTTATATATTGAAGTTCTCACCCTGGCCACCAGGGGGCATTGTGTATATAGTTTTCACTCAGGTCTATGTCAGTTAGTTTAGGCCGGAAACCCTGGGCTGTTGCTGTTACAATGTTGACAGCCGGCTGCCTATAAAAGCAGGACGGCTGAGCTGTTTGAGTTCAATTCAGTTCCAGCTTACTATAAAGAACCACTTGGAGAAATCTCTGTCGTCTGCTATGTCCACCCACAACTTAATAGTGAGGTCTGACCCAATTTAATATAGTTGTCCTGCACAAAAACCTCCGAACGGATCTGCCTAAAATTTGGCAGGCTTAATCCAGAGAGGCTTATATTTCTGCAAATTTCTTCCACTTTTCTCCGAACCCTTTTTTAGGTTCACCATTATATTGAATGAGGGGGTGAGAGCTTTGGGTGGTATTCCTAGCAGTGCCAAGAGAACCTTCTGTCAGCACAAGGGAACATTCTCCCCCTCCCCTCCCTCACGACCCCCAGAGGGATTCTAGGAGTCTCCCCAATCAAACAAAGCCGTCCTTATATTATTGTAGAAATGTTTTTTCTTCAGCCGTCAACTCTTCCTCCTCCCCTCCTCCTTTCCCCAATCTCCCTCTCCCTTTCCGCCCCACCCCAATATCCCCCTCTATACATTGTAGATTTTTTCTATTTTGGCAGAACCACAAATTTTGGTCTGAGGATTTGTGCTTTCCCTCTGGCGTTTCCTTAAAACAATAAAAACAAAAAGCCACCTTTTGGAATAAGCCTTCTCTGTCCTGCCCTGTTACTGTATTTATTTTCCCCGATTTCAACTATAAATTGGTGCTTTTCTTGAGTCAAAATGAGAGAGAACCCCTAAATATTTTTTTTAGAAAAAGAGCACTGCTTATATTATTTTAGAAATGTTTTTTCTTCAGCCCCAAGCCCTCTCCCCCTTCCTCCTCTCCTTCTCCTTTCCCCAGTCTCCCTCCCCATCTCCCCATCTCCCTTTCCTCCCCCTCCCAATATTTCTCCCTCCTCCAATATATTATAGAATTCTTTTTACCTTCTGGCAGAATCAATCCACTGCCAGGTTCTGCAGTGTAGGAACAAGTATCTGCTGCCTGACTAAGCCCACAAGAAGCAAAACAGAAACTGTTTTCAAAGCGACTGGTTCCTGCTATTTATATTGGCCCCTCCTCCTCCTCTCCCTTTCTGACTCCAGCCCCACCCAGCCTTTAATGTCACCCCCAGCCTGAATCTGGAGATGTTTTCAATTGCCCAATGTCTTCTGCCCTGCTTCAGAGAACAGTGCAATCCTGTCAGGGGCTGGATGCATTCTTGGGCACAAAGTGTAAAAGAATTTTTAGCATGATTTAAAATCAACCCCACAAACAAAGGGCAGAACCTCCCTTTGGGGAATGTGATCACCCTCAATGTGCAGAAGGAGAAACAGCTGCTGGCAACTTGGCGATTGCTGAGTTTGAGACTAACAAGTGACAAGCTTGCTTGCAGCAAGGTAGGTATTATAGTAAAAGAAAATTAAAAGTGTTATAGTGGCAGGAAAATGCCTGTGGAAAGTTGAAAAGAGCATTGGTTTCTATAATTTTATGTAGCCTCTTGAGGGAGGAATGCAAAAGACAATGAGGTTTTAAAAATAATGAAAGATCTTAATGTTTGGGAGGCAGCCAATGCAAGGTTTCACAAAAGATGGCAAGTGTTTAGGTGCCCAAAATCTGCTCCATAAAAATGGTTAAGTAGCAGAAAGCAATAAGAATTCATTATTTTTTGAAAGTAACAAACCTAACCTAATCATGCACAGAAGAGTCTCTGCCTTCCCCGACCTGGGAATCATATAATTCGTATAACAATTGATTGTGAAAAACCTCAGAGCGATTTACAAAAGATTTAAAAAAAGTGAGAAAAAACACAACCCTTATTTAAAACATACAAAAGTAAAAATATTAAAGCAGATTATAATTACATCATACTTTCTAAACAACTGGTAGGCTTTTGTACACAAGAATGTTTTTAGCTGGCACCAAACTTGACTATATAGGCTTGTTGCCAGCAGCTGCTACTAAAACTCATTTTCTAGAAATTCTGTTAGCTGGTTTAAAGCCAACAGGGGAAGTCAGAACTAAAAGGGTGGAAGTTCCCTTGGCACAAAGACTGTAATTTTATAAACACCTCTTATGTCTATTCTTCCTTGTCTTTTCTTCAAAAGAAAAAAACGCTATGCAAAAATCGCATAGAAATTCTTTTTGCTCTCTGGCTAGCTCTCCTTCTCGTCCTCTTCCTGCCAGGGAGGGAAGGAGGGTCAAAGTAGACTCCCGCCAATGATAGCGGCAGGAGAACCGCTGGTCGTTGAAGCCTTGCGGTTGCTGCATTCAGCTCCACCCCCCCGCCCCCACCGGCTTATATGCCATCCCCTCCCCGCCCACAAAGGGAACTGACCCTACAGCAATTAGTCATCTATTTCCCTCACAGTCTGAAGGTGAGCTGATAAGACTCAACATTAACAAGAACACAGAAGGTTGTAAAAGGTTGAACAATGAAGAAAGTGGAAGATTATTGCCTTTGGACTTGAAGGTCTTAATGGGACACCTGTTCTTAAATGGCAATGTGTACTAACTACTATCTGAAGAAGTGTGCATGCACACGAAAGCTCATACCAATAACAAACGTAGCTGGTCTCTAAAGTGCCACTGGAATGAATTTTTTTATTTTGTTTTAACTACGATCTTATCACTTCTGCTTCTGCTGAGTGGGATCCTTGACTTCTGCCTCAATGTGGAACAAACAGCCTAAAGATCAACTTAGCCGGGAGCCTGAAAAAGCTGTTTCAAACTCATTAATCAGTAAACATCAAGCTTTGAACCCAAAATACAGTTTAGGTAAAGGTAAAGGGACCCCTGACCGTTAGGTCCAGTCATGGTCGACTCTGGGGTTGCGGCGCTCATCTCGCTTTATTGGCCAAGGGAGCCGGCGTACAGGTCATGTGGCCAGCATGACTAAGCCGCTTCTGGCGAACCAGAGCAGTGCACGGAAACACTGTTTACCTTCCCACCGGAGCAGTACCTATTTATCTACTTGCACTTTGATGTGCTTTCAAACTGCTAGGTTGGCAGGAGCTGGCACCAAGCAACAGGAGCTCACCCCGTCGCAGGGATTCGAACCGCCGACCTTCTGATCAGCAAGTCCTAGGCTCTGTGGTTTAACCCACAGCACCACCAGCATCCCTTCCACAGTTAATTCCACTTGAAGTGGCTTACCGTACAATAAAAGCACATACAGAATAATTGTCTAACATCTTCCATCAGCTCCAGCCCAGTCAGCAGGTTATAAACATTTGGTCTGGCCCAGTATGGCAGCTCTCAGAACAGCAGCAGAAGACGAGACTCCTGACTATCAACCCCAGAGTCTCCGAGATTCAGTAGAATTATCCAGCAGCTTACCAAGCAGTGGGATAAAATCCCTCAAGGAATTTAAAATGGGGGAAATTAGAGCATATTATCACACGTTAAAAATAAGACTACCTGTTAATATATAATCTTCTAATGTCCCAGTCGTTATCTCTCTTGTATTTGAATTGATTCTATATATGCGGTATTCTTGTTTTTAAACTCTGTGTGCTTCATCCACAAATAGTGAAAGTACAGTTGTACCTTGGAAGTCAAATGGAATCCGTTCCAGAAGTCTGTTTGACTTCCAAAATGTTCAGAAACCAAAGCGCAGCTTTTGATTGGCTGCAGGAAGATTCTGCAGCCAATCAGAAGCTGCAGATGCCCCATCAGACGTTTGGGTTCCAAAGAATGTTTACTAACCGGAACATTCCCTTCCGGGTTTGCGGCGTTTGGGAGCCAAAACGTCCGAGTACCAAGGTATTTGGTATCCAAGGTACGACTGTGGTGTCATTTGGGATCTGAAGCAATCGACTGAAATGTAATTTGTTCCCTATCCTGAAATACTTTTAACCAAAAGTTAACTTTTAACCAAAAGTTTTTAATCTGTGGGCATCTATATGTATAAGTGTTCCATCATTACCACTGTTTCTCCAACACTGTGGAGAGTTATTTTTGTCTAATTGTATCCATATTCTTTTTCCATTTCTGGGCCTCCATATTTTGATTATGTGCCTTAACATGATGCTTATTTATTTAAATAAATGTGTGTGTTTGTTTGTTTGGTGAGGAGTAGCTTTGCAGTTGAAAACTGAGAAAGGAGAAACCAGAGTAAATGCTGGCAGATGCAATCTCTGTTTAGACAAGTTTCAGGCTTTCCTAAGACGCAGCCTCTGCAACCAATACCAGAGCAAGCCCTCAGGTAAAAATTATATATTGTACCTCTTTTCCCCTCTCCAGGGAATTTTTTTTTAAAATATAGGTCACTGTGGAATCCTAATGGGCACAAAATTCACTTTCACTCTCTAAAAGACACACCAGACCACAAGACGCACCTAGTTTTTGGAGGAGGAAAACAAGAAAAAAAATATTCTGAATCTCAGAAGCCAGAACAGCAAGACGGATCACTGCGCAGTGAAAGCAGAAATCCCTCTTGCTGTTCTGGCTTCTGTGATAGCTGCGCAGCCTGCATTCGCTCCATAAGACGCACACACATTTCCCCCTTACTTTTAGAGAGAAAAAGTGAGTCTTATAGAGCAAAAAATATGTAATTAGATTTTCACCTATAGGCAACCATTCCAATTTGGACCAATTAATTGAGTGTCCTAATATTTTACCCAAATCATCCGTTGCTTTCATCAAATTAGGAATACTAGAATGAGGCTTTGAAATAAGCATATTCAACTCCTTCATGAATCTCACAATGCTATCTAATGCCAGGGGTTCTAAACACATTTTAAAGAGCAAAGGGGAAGTGGACATCCTTGTCTGCTTCCTCCTGGCCCTCTGTTGATCCTTAATGGCCCTAGCTTGAACAGGTCGTTTCCCAAAGGCTAACCCAGGAATTCCTCTGCAGTTTGTATTTCCCCCTTCACATCCCAAAATTGGGGTACACTACTTAAACCATTTCCCAACTTCGCTAGAGTCTAGCCCTGCGAAGTCTGTATCAGTCAGAGAAAATAAGAGACTTCAGCCAAGCAATGAAGAAGCAAATCAGCAGCCAATAGGCCTGATCTTTATTTGTTGCAACAAAGGTTCCAACCTTTAAGGCAAGCAAAAAAGACAGAGCCCTGAACAAAGGTTACATGAGTTTTTTAAAGTTCTCAAATTTTCCCATAACACATTTCACACAGTGTCATCAAAACATTGCACACACCATAGGAGTGGTGTCTTTTTAAAAAAATGTTTATCTTTATCTTTTATTTTATTTTATTAATGAGTTTCAATTTTATACAAGTCAATAATTTTACAATCATTTGAACATTTCAGAACTTGACTTCCTTCCCCTTCCTTCTGCGGTTCCTTAAATTTATTTTTAATATTTTCTTCATCTCCAAATTAACTTACTTTACACATTTATTCATCTACTTTTAATATATACTCTTATAAAACTGCAGGTTATTACAACAATCCTGCCAATGTTCTTATCTGTTTACAGTTTGTTTGTAAATATTCAATGAACCATTTCCATTCTTTATTTGTTCAGGCCAGGTTGCATTCCATTCTGGAGATGGATTTTTCACGTGGGGTTTTGTGATTCTGATAACACCTTCCTCACCCTACCTGCCCTCCTTATCTTGACTGGTAATATCTGGTCTGACACCTGTCCCCTCCCCTCCTCCTCCCTGAGAAGAGTAAAGCACCATTGAAATGAGGAAGATAAGTGAAACGGCTGGTTTTTAGTGATTATCTGAAGTTTCCCATAGGATAGCATTGTGGCACTACTGGGTGATATTGTTAATTGAAGATTTCCCTTTAAGGCACCAGCTGAACCTCCCGGGGAAAGCATTCTACAAATGGGGAGCCACTGTCTTCTAAAAGTCAGATATTTATTTCCTTGACATCTGATGGGAGGGCAGGCACCACTACTGAAAAGGCCTTCTGCCTGGTTTCCTGTAACCTCACTTTGCGCAGGGAGGAACTGCCAGAAGTGTTGGGATACTGCCAGGGAGATAAAGTCCATCATGGCCCCCAAGCCATCTGCCGGACGATCCATCGACCTCCCGTAGGCACGCAGTATCAGCAATTAGCGGCATGAGTTTCTAGAAAATATCTTGCCACATTCCAGAGCTCATGCACACTCTATCAGCAGATAATGCGCAGCCAAAAGTTGCACTCAGGAGAGCATTATTTACAAGTTTATTCAGCGTTGATCAGAACACAGAAAAACATGACTGCCTGCTTTAGTGTCTAGGACACAGAGAGAAACGAAAACAATAGCAAACATAAATATCCTGTGAACAGGAAATACGCAGACTCTGTGACTCACAGCCTGCTCCCTTTTAAGGTGGAATGGAAATATCCTAACAAGAAGGCCCTTGGAGCTGGACCTCCACCCCCTAAACGATGGGGGCGGCCGAGGCTGTTTAGGGCTTTAAAGGTCAGCACCAACACTTTGAATTGTGCTTGGAAACGTACTGGGAACCAATGCAGATCTCTCAGAACCGGTGTTATGTGGTCCCAGCGGCCACTCCTAGTCACCAGTCTAGCTGCCGCCTTCTGGATTAACTGTAGTTCCTGGGTCACCTTCAAAGGTAGCCCCACGTAGGGTGCATTGCAGTAGTCCAAGCGGGAAATATTACAGGGGTCAGCAAACTTTTTCAGCAGGGGTCCAGTCCACTGTCCCTTAGACCTTGTGGGGGGCCGGACTATATTTTGGGGGGGGGGGGAAACTGAACAATTACCTATGCCCCACAAATAACCCAGAGATGCATTTTAAATAAAAGCACACATTCTACTCCTGTAAAAACATGCTGATTCCCAGACTGTCTGCGGTCCCATTAAGAGAAGGCAACCATCCATCCAGCCCTCTAACGGTGCCTCCATCTTATCTGGATTAAGCTTCAGTTTATTGGTTCTCACCCAGTCCATTACAGAAGCAGGGCCAGACTAGCACTTACACTGCCACACCTGCAGATACAAAAGAGAAGAGGAGCTGTATCGCATCACGCAGGGACATGTTTCCTGTTTCTCTCTCCCAACATTGCCCAGGAAAATGCAAATCTGCACCAAACCCAAAATCTGGACCGCCCAACGAAATCAAGTAAGGTTTTTCCTCCATCTACACCCACAGATTCAATAGCTAGGGTGGACAGCCTAATCACTCTCTTTGGTTGTGGAGGCTACAGGGGGCCAGCCCATTATGCATAGCTCATTGAGTGTGATCTGCATGACTTAGAAGCCTATGCTGTTTCTCATTTACCAACTGGTTTGCTGCAGATCCAGCGTTCTTCGCTTCCTCTGCTGCCGCTAGCAACACCCAGATGGTTCAAGTAAGCATATGTTCCTCCTCCCGGATTTCAAACCTAAAAAGCAACAGAATGTAGAAATGGTATCCCTAAGAACAAGTATAAGACCATGCAACTGAAAAGAGACCCCCCAAGGTATGTACCTGAAAAGAGACCCCCCAATGTATGTACAGGGAACCCTGGAAGCTAATTTTCACCTGAAGAAAACTGCAGAAGGCAGCTTCATTTATATTACTTTAATACATTTACATTTTAGACTATGTGATCTTGGCTCAGGGCCTCAGCAAATGGTATAAAAACCCCTGACTTCAGAAGAGGAGTGGAAATATCGACACACACTCAGGCTGGGTGACTCAATGGCACCCCTATGAAGGCTTCACCCGGGGCAAAATCCTGGCTAGCCACCCCCTGCCCCCAGGCTCCCCCCACTGTAGCTATGTCTTTGTCCTTTCTCCTGAAAAGTGTGTGTGTGGGGGAGAGAGAGAGAGAGAGAGATTTTCAAAAGCAAAACATGCTGCATAGCCCGGACATTTAAATGGCTGGTTCTGTCAAATTTCTAGTTTCTGGACTTTTGACATTTATTTATTGACACACAACGCGGGGGGGGGGGGGGAGAGATCTCACCATTTCTTGAAAATGGTGCCATCGATCCATTTCCAAGGTTCCTGGTCTTTCATCCTTTGGAGACCAATCCAGTGGTCAAAATGACCTTTGTACCGTCTCAAGAAGATCTTAATAAAGAAAGGAAGTATGAATACATTTTCAACTATCATCCAAGTGGAAAATCAACTCCATTTAAGGCTTCAGACTTTCCACTCACCTTCTCTTCTTGGGAGTCAATCACGACCAAAGAGGCGTTGAAAGAGGCACAGTAATTCTGGCTATATGTCCAGTTTCTGTCACTGTCCGAAAAATAGTAGCATTTCCTTTGGTAGCCAATCCAGCCGTCCGGACAGTACTCAGTTGAAGTGCAAGGAGAAGGTAGGGCAGGTGGCAATACTGCGCTTCTCCCTAGAAAGGCATCAGAAAGTGAGACAGATCATTATCCATAGCTTATAAATAGTCCTACCCAAAATAAAGGTCAGGCAATGTACTCCACTCATCAATATTATATCTGTGTGCTGCCTTTCCACAAAAGGAATCCTGCTCAAAGCAGCTTGCAACAAAGAAAATGGGAACACATCTCAAGCATCATAAGAACCATCACATAAAAATACAGTATAACAACGTAATTGCAAATACACCACACACAAAAACTGTGTGCAGGAGGTCTCTGGTCAACCCCCATCATCTCCATGTGGGGCTGGATAAGGGTGGGGAAATGAGGGTAGGAGGGAGGGCAGACAGCCCAGTGCCCATCTCTGTCCAAAAACTCAGGAGCTTGCAGGACATAGAGCAGCTTCTCTTGTGGCTCAACCATAGATAGTCGACCTCAATTGACTATCCATGAAATACACAACCAGGGTCTAGTTGACTCTCCCTGAGATAGGCCTTTGATTAGAATTGTATCGTACAATTTAAATCACTTGAAATAGTGTGCTTATTTTGTGTGTATATTGTTTGTGCATATTGGTCTATTATTACAGTACATGAAGTCTGCCTTGCCTGAATGTGGGCCCCTATCCACAACTGCTTCCAGGCTACCTCAACTGAACACTGATAAAGCTATTCTAGCTGCTGAGGAGAGGAGATCTGTGAGAGCATGTGGCCTATAGATAAAATGGCAACAGTTACAGCAAAATGGCTCTTCACTTACCTGATAAACCAGTGCTGCTGCTGATGATGATGGAAATGATCAGAATGACATTAAGCACCAAGCTCAAAATCATTACAGAAAAAGCGAGTTTCTTTTCTCCATTATTGCTCAAACCTGCAGAGGGAAATAAAGTGTTAATGTGTCCTTGGTTTCAGCAAGATGCCGGACAAGTCCTTCTAGAAACTCCAAAGTATCTGGGGATTCCAAGTCTACCCAGGCTTGGGTTGTCCACCCACATTGAAGGTGTGAGTTCAAGGTTGCATCACACCAAGATGTCATACCACTCAACAGTCCTGATTTATGCGGGACATCTTGGAATTACAGAAGCCAATCCTGGCTCCTGATTGCATCCCGGAATGTCCCATTTTTTGGTCTGAGTCTGACTTGTAGTGCAAGTCAACTGGGGACCAAAAAAAGAAACGTCCCAATTTTGGTCAGTGGGATGTTTGAAGGGTATGAGATGAACCAAGTTCACCTGTGGCATCATGAAGCTCATTGGTTTGGTGCCTCCCACCACAAAGTCAGCCAACTGATAGGCCTCTGCGCATGGCTGGTGAGTCACCAGTTGTTTATTTTATTAAAAAGTATTCACATGCCACCATCTCCTAAACTATCAAGGTGATGCACAATAATGTTTACCGTATAGGCCTGAATATAAGCCTCTCTTTTTTTCCAAATTCTGACCATGAAAAGTTAAAGTGCAGCTTATATTCGCGACCTTACAAAAATGGGCTTGGAGCGAGCATTTTTTCTCTCCCCCCCCCCTTAATTTTAAAGGTTACCCATCCCTTTTAGAGCATCTGAATTGCCCTCAAAACAGAAGTTGAAAGGTTTTTTTGCTGGCAGCATGGAAGTGACAGGAGATCTCTGTCCTATGTAGAAACAGAATGGGATATTTTGTTCACGCATCGCAGCAACCTCAAGCGAATAACCTGAAGCCATTTTAATCTTTATTGTAAAACAAACCATTAAGGGGATACAGTTTAAGCCCTTGCACATTTCTGTATAACATAGGGTTGGTTCCAACACATCACAGGTAGATCCATTAATGTGCAAAACAAAATGCATTAAAATGAATTGTTCAACCAAAGAACATTTTCCTGTGCTAAAAGAAGCTTTATTCATTCAATACAGGATAGTGAATTTTCAAGCTTGCCTCACCCAAATAAGTCAAAATAGCAGTTCGTAGTTCATGGACCAGGATTAGCAGATTTACTAAGGTTGCTATATTAATTATATGGTGAGGATGGCATAACTGACACTTAAAGAAAACCAGGTCCAAATGTAAGGACTAGCCAGCAAAGTGGTTCGTCAGCAATATGCAGCTCTGAGTGGCTGCTTTCAGCATATATATATATATATATATATATATATATATATTTAAGTTAATGCCATGTCACCAGCATGTAAACATGGCAACACTTGGTTGGTCAAATTGGGATCCTTGAAGAAAGGAACCAATATGTTTTGAAAGATATGTTCTGAAATAGTGTGAAGCCAGTCTTACAGGGGTTCTCTGCCAGGGGATTTGCACAGTATTGGTTGCTTCTAGATTTGCTGAGAATTTTATTTTATTTATTTTTAAAATATATATATAAATCACCCACTCAAATATAAATTTCAGTATGGTCTACTGTAATGTATACCATTCAACCCAATCAGATGGGCATCATATAACAACAACAACAACGCATTAAAGTGCCGCTGTGCTAGTCAATGCTGTGGACCATGCGCCTGCACTTGCAGATTCCTGGTCTCTTCGCTTATCTGAGACTCTCTAGGTCTGTGTGCAGCAGGAATGGGGACCGTGTGATCTTCCAGATGTTTCGGTCTACATTGGCCATGCTGGCAGAGAGTGATGGGAGGGAGTTGGAATCCAGCAACATCTGGCGAGAGACAAGCTCTCCATTCTTGCTGTACATGGAAGGGGAAAAGGAAGAACAGCCAGGAATCTCTCTCCTCAAGGGCAGCCTCACACCCTTCTCCTGATGCATGCCTGCGTGAGCAAGGATAGTTCCATCTGAGAGAGGAACTAAGAAGAGTCTGAGAAGCATTCCTCAATTTTCACACGAGTGTCTATGTAGCCATCCTTTTCCAATGGCTTTTAATTGCCCGAATAAATTAGCATCCCCATGAATTTGATTAGTTGGCCTGCATTCTGCAGCTCTCATCCCAGCAGCAAATCCATAACTTTTCTGACAAACTCATGCCTTTCTCATCAGAACTCACTTACCGTATGGAAAATGGCCTGGTTTCGGAGAGAAGAGTTCTCCTGCTTGTTCGGTGCTTCCATTACTTATGCTTCTCTGACGTTCCCAATTCCCTGCTGCAACTGGATTCATGGGGAGCCTTCGCTCTGTCTTTTCAGTTTCAGAGAGACACATCTTTTCTTTCTCCCAGGAGGATCCACAGACCGCACAATAAATGCTACTCAGTTACACAGAGTTTTGCAATTTCTTGAGATATGTTCAAAGCAGATCATGATGTGGTGAGAAAACACCCTTTTTAAATACCACTTAATTGTGTGCTTTAATCGGATACTTTGTCCAGCCAAGCTGTACTTAATAAGTTTTCCACTTCCCTGTTTTGTCTTCCTGACTCCTTTTATTCCTTATAAAATGAAAGCCTCTTCAGAGTCTGAAGCATCAGTTCTGCCCTTTTGCCAGAAAAAAATTCATCACAGCATCAGATTTTTGCCAAAGCATCAATGTCCCAAGATTCCTCTGTGGAGACAAAATTACAGAGCAGAGAAATAAATCATCTCTCCTTGAAGTCTTTAAAAGGTGCAGTTTTGCTTCCATATTAGTCTAGTCTCCCCACAAAAGCCCAAAAGGTGGTCTTAGATATACTAATTTACAGAACTGGAAAATTCATATATGAAATATTGTTTCTTTTTAGTCTAAATTATTACAGTAATATTTCTACATCTACTTGATGAAATGAAAGCATTGAGACAAGTGAAAGGGAGCAGCCCCTGAGATAGTTGAAGATGGCTTTTGTATTATATTTCCCCCCCAGTCTCCTCCTACCCAGCTCCTCCTCCTCCTAAGCCTTATGAGGAAATATCACTCTCCTCTGGACACGTTCCAGTTTGTCAACACCCTCCTAAAATTGCAATGTCCAGAAATGGACACAGTTGGTTACGAGGAGTCATCATTGTAGTCACAACAGGAAAACCTGTTTTCCCCTTTTCCACTTCCTTTGCAATCTCACCACTTCAGCTCTTCAGGATTGAGGGTCGGGAAATTCTACGCTTTCCAGAGAAGAGCTGTCAATCCTCTGCCTATCTGGTTGCCTAGCATCTATGCCCCCTTCTTGGAAACTTGCTCAAACTGTCTCAGGAAACCAATATCTTGGTAGGAAAGGGGGGGGCTGGGTCTGCTTCCTCCTGCAGCCTGTCAGGTTCAGAGTCAGAGCCTGTCTTTCTTCCATCTCCTTCCTCGCTTGACTCCACCACGCTCCTGACCCATACTTAAGTGGCCATTACCAAGATTTTAGCCCTTGCTGGATCTAGGAATTAGCCAGGTCTCAGGCATGCAGCCTACCCCCCCCCATCTCCTCCGCTAAACTTACAACAATATCTAATTGGGAAACTACTATGCAAATATAGGACCACCCACTGGCCTGGCATTGAGAAAAAGAGAGAGAGAGCAGCCCCTGAGATATTTGAAAATGGCTACCATATCTCCCCTCAGTCTCCTCTTTCCCAGGCTAGACATAGCCAGCTCCTCCGCCTCATTAACCTTGGTTTCCAAGCCTTATGAAAAAGGGTCTCCCAGTGGCAGAGCGGCACCAGGGGACAGAGAGCAGGTGGGGAGGGGCTGGCGTGCGTCCCGGGGGCAATGCACGCCACATGCATGCATCTTCCTCCGCCAGTCCTCCCTCCTCTGCACACGTTCCAGTTTGTCAACATCCTCCTTAAATGGTGGTGCCCAGAAATGGACACAGTTATGTGCGTTATGTATTGAAGTTCTCACCCTGGCCACCAGGGGGTATTGTGTATATAGTTTTCACTCAGGTCTATGTCAGTTAGTTTAGGCCGGAAACCCTGGGCTGTTGTTTTTACAATGTTGACAGCCGGCTGCCTATAAAAGCAGGCCGGCTGAGCTGTTCAGGTCAGTTCAGTTCCAGCTTACTATAAAGAACCACTTGGAGAAATCTCTGTGTCGTCTTCTATGTCCACCCACAATAGTGAGGTCTGACCCACTTTAATAAAGGTGTCCGGCACAAAAACCTCCAAACGGATCTGCCTAAAATTTGGCAGGCTTAATCCAGAGAGGCTTATATTTCTGCAAATTTCTTCCACTTTTCTCCGAACCCTTTTTTAGGTTCACCACTATATTGAATGAGGGGTGAGAGCTTTGGGTGGTATTCCTAGCAGTGCCAAGAGAACCTTCTGTCAGCACAAGGGAACATTCTCCCCTCTCCTCCCTCACGACCCCCAGAGGGATTCTAGGAGTCTCCCCAATCAAACAAAGCCGTCCTTATATTATTGTAGAAATGTTTTTTCTTCAGCCGTCAACTCTTCCTCCTCCCCTCCTCCTTTCCCCAATCTCCCTCTCCCTTTCCTCCCCTCCCCATATCCCCCTCTATACATTGTAGATTTTTTTTCTATTTTGGCAGAACCACAAATTTTGGTCTGAGGATTTGTGCTTTCCCCTCTGGGTTTCCTTAAAACAATAAAAACAAAAAGCCACCTTTTGGAATAAGTCTTCTCTGTCCTGCCCTGTTACTGTATTTATTTCCCCCGATTTCAACTATAAATTGGTGCTTTTCTTGAGTCAAAATGAGAGAGAACCCCTAAATATTTTTTTTAGAAAAAGAGCACTGCTTATATTATTTTAGAAATGTTTTTTCTTCAGCCCCAAGCCCTCTCCCCCTTCCTCCTCTCCTTCTCCTTTCCCCAGTCTCCCTCCCCATCTCCCCATCTCCCTTTCCTCCCCCTCCCAATATTTCTCCCTCCTCCAATATATTATAGAATTCTTTTTACCTTCTGGCAGAATCAATCCACTGCCAGGTTCTGCAGTGTAGGAACAAGTATCTGCTGCCTACCAAGCCCACAAGAAGCAAGATAGAAACTGTTTTCAAAACGACTGGTTCCTGCTATTTATATTGGCCCCTCCTCCTCCTCTCCCTTTCTGACTCCAGCCCCACCCAGCCTTTAATGTCACCCCCAGCCTGAATCTAGAGATGTTTTCAATTGCCCAAGGTCTTCTGCCCTACTTCAGAGAACAGTGCAATCCTGTCAGGGGCTGGATGCATTCTTGGGCACAAGTGTAAAAGAATTTTTAGCATGATTTAAAATCAACCCCACAAACAAAGGGCAGAACCTCCCTTTGGGGAATGTGATCACCCTCAATGTGCAGAAGGAGAAACAGCTGCTGGCAACTTGGCGATTGCTGAGTTTGAGACTAACAAGTGACAAGCTTGCTTGCAGCAAGGTAGGTATTATAGTAAAAGAAAATTAAAAGTGTTATAGTGGCAGGAAAATGCCTGTGGAAAGTTGAAAAGAGCATTGGTTTCTATAATTTTATGTAGCCTCTTGAGGGAGGAATGCAAAAGACAATGAGGTTTTAAAAATAATGAAAGATCTTAATGTTTGGGAGGCAGCCAATGCAAGGTTTCACAAAAGATGGCAAGTGTTTAGGTGCCCAAAATCTGCTCCATAAAAATGGTTAAGTAGCAGAAAGCAATAAGAATTCATTATTTTTTGAAAGTAACAAACCTAACCTAATCATGCACAGAAGAGTCTCTGCCTTCCCCGACCTGGGAATCATATAATTCGTATAACAATTGATTGTGAAAAACCTCAGAGCGATTTACAAAAGATTTTAAAAAGTGAGAAAAACACAACCCTTATTTAAAACATACAAAAGTAAAAATATTAAAGCAGATTATAATTACATCATACTTTCTAAACAACTGGTAGGCTTTTGTACACAAGAATGTTTTTAGCTGGCACCAAACTTGACTATATAGGCTTGTTGCCAGCAGCTGCTACTAAAACTCATTTTCTAGAAATTCTGTTAGCTGATTTGAAGCCAACAGGGAAGTCAGAACTAAAAGGGTGGAAGTTCCCTTGGCACAAAGACTGTAATTTTATAAACACCTCTTATGTCTATTCTTCCTTGTCTTTTCTTCAAAAGAAAAAAACGCTATGCAAAAATCGCATAGAAATTCTTTTTGCTCTCTGGCTAGCTCTCCTTCTCGTCCTCTTCCTGCCAGGGAGGGGAAGGAGGGTCAAAGTAGACTCCCGCCAATGATAGCGGCAGGAGAACCGCTGGTCGTTGAAGCCTTGCGGTTGCTGCGTTCAGCTCTACCCCCTCCCCCTCCTGCTTCTCTGCCATCCCCTCCCCGCCCACAAAGGGAACTGACCCTACAGCAATTAGTCATCTATTTCCCTCACAGTCTGAAGGTGAGCTGATAAGACTCAACATTAACAAGAACACAGAAGGTTGTAAAAGGTTGAACAATGAAGAAAGTGGAAGATTATTGCCTTTGGACTTGAAGGTCTTAATGGGACACCTGTTCTTAAATGGCAATGTGTACTAACTACTATCTGAAGAAGTGTGCATGCACACGAAAGCTCATACCAATAACAAACGTAGCTGGTCTCTAAAGTGCCACTGGAATGAATTTTTTTATTTTGTTTTAACTACGATCTTATCACTTCTGCTTCTGCTGAGTGGGATCCTTGACTTCTGCCTCAATGTGGAACAAACAGCCTAAAGATCAACTTAGCCGGGAGCCTGAAAAAGCTGTTTCAAACTCATTAATCAGTAAACATCAAGCTTTGAACCCAAAATACAGTTTAGGTAAAGGTAAAGGGACCCCTGACCGTTAGGTCCAGTCATGGTCGACTCTGGGGTTGCGGCGCTCATCTCGCTTTATTGGCCAAGGGAGCCGGCGTACAGGTCATGTGGCCAGCATGACTAAGCCGCTTCTGGCGAACCAGAGCAGTGCACGGAAACACTGTTTACCTTCCCACCGGAGCAGTACCTATTTATCTACTTGCACTTTGATGTGCTTTCAAACTGCTAGGTTGGCAGGAGCTGGCACCAAGCAACAGGAGCTCACCCCGTCGCAGGGATTCGAACCGCCGACCTTCTGATCAGCAAGTCCTAGGCTCTGTGGTTTAACCCACAGCACCACCAGCATCCCTTCCACAGTTAATTCCACTTGAAGTGGCTTACCGTACAATAAAAGCACATACAGAATAATTGTCTAACATCTTCCATCAGCTCCAGCCCAGTCAGCAGGTTATAAACATTTGGTCTGGCCCAGTATGGCAGCTCTCAGAACAGCAGCAGAAGACGAGACTCCTGACTATCAACCCCAGAGTCTCCGAGATTCAGTAGAATTATCCAGCAGCTTACCAAGCAGTGGGATAAAATCCCTCAAGGAATTTAAAATGGGGGAAATTAGAGCATATTATCACACGTTAAAAATAAGACTACCTGTTAATATATAATCTTCTAATGTCCCAGTCGTTATCTCTCTTGTATTTGAATTGATTCTATATATGCGGTATTCTTGTTTTTAAACTCTGTGTGCTTCATCCACAAATAGTGAAAGTACAGTTGTACCTTGGAAGTCAAATGGAATCCGTTCCAGAAGTCTGTTTGACTTCCAAAATGTTCAGAAACCAAAGCGCAGCTTTTGATTGGCTGCAGGAAGATTCTGCAGCCAATCAGAAGCTGCAGATGCCCCATCAGACGTTTGGGTTCCAAAGAATGTTTACTAACCGGAACATTCCCTTCCGGGTTTGCGGCGTTTGGGAGCCAAAACGTCCGAGTACCAAGGTATTTGGTATCCAAGGTACGACTGTGGTGTCATTTGGGATCTGAAGCAATCGATTGAAATGTAATTTGTTCCCTATCCTGAAATACTTTTAACCAAAAGTTAACTTTTAACCAAAAGTTTTTAATCTGTGGGCATCTATATGTATAAGTGTTCCATCATTACCACTGTTTCTCCAACACTGTGGAGAGTTATTTTTGTCTAATTGTATCCATATTCTTTTTCCATTTCTGGGCCTCCATATTTTGATTATGTGCCTTAACATGATGCTTATTTATTTAAATAAATGTGTGTGTTTGTTTGTTTGGTGAGGAGTAGCTTTGCAGTTGAAAACTGAGAAAGGAGAAACCAGAGTAAATGCTGGCAGATGCAATCTCTGTTTAGACAAGTTTCAGGCTTTCCTAAGACGCAGCCTCTGCAACCAATACCAGAGCAAGCCCTCAGGTAAAAATTATATATTGTACCTCTTTTCCCCTCTCCAGGGAATATTTTTTTAAAATATAGGTCACTGTGGAATCCTAATGGGCACAAAATTCACTTTCACTCTCTAAAAGACACACCAGACCACAAGACGCACCTAGTTTTTGGAGGAGGAAAACAAGAAAAAAAATATTCTGAATCTCAGAAGCCAGAACAGCAAGACGGATCACTGCGCAGTGAAAGCAGAAATCCCTCTTGCTGTTCTGGCTTCTGTGATAGCTGCGCAGCCTGCATTCGCTCCATAAGACGCACACACATTTCCCCCTTACTTTTTAGAGAGAAAAAGTGAGTCTTATAGAGCAAAAAATATGTAATTAGATTTTCACCTATAGGCAACCATTCCAATTTGGACCAATTAATTGAGTGTCCTAATATTTTACCCAAATCATCCGTTGCTTTCATCAAATTAGGAATACTAGAATGAGGCTTTGAAATAAGCATATTCAACTCCTTCATGAATCTCACAATGCTATCTAATGCCAGGGGTTCTAAACACATTTTAAAGAGCAAAGGGGGAAGTGGACATCCTTGTCTGCTTCCTCCTGGCCCTCTGTTGATCCTTAATGGCCCTAGCTTGAACAGGTCGTTTCCCAAAGGCTAACCCAGGAATTCCTCTGCAGTTTGTATTTCCCCCTTCACATCCCAAAATTGGGGTACACTACTTAAACCATTTCCCAACTTCGCTAGAGTCTAGCCCTGCGAAGTCTGTATCAGTCAGAGAAAATAAGAGACTTCAGCCAAGCAATGAAGAAGCAAATCAGCAGCCAATAGGCCTGATCTTTATTTGTTGCAACAAAGGTTCCAACCTTTAAGGCAAGCAAAAAGACAGAGCCCTGAACAAAGGTTACATGAGTTTTTTAAAGTTCTCAAATTTTCCCATAACACATTTCACACAGTGTCATCAAAACATTGCACACACCATAGGAGTGGTGTCTTTTTAAAAAAATGTTTATCTTTATCTTTTATTTTATTTTATTAATGAGTTTCAATTTTATACAAGTCAATAATTTTACAATCATTTGAACATTTCAGAACTTGACTTCCTTCCCCTTCCTTCTGCGGTTCCTTAAATTTATTTTTAATATTTTCTTCATCTCCAAATTAACTTACTTTACACATTTATTCATCTACTTTTAATATATACTCTTATAAAACTGCAGGTTATTACAACAATCCTGCCAATGTTCTTATCTGTTTACAGTTTGTTTGTAAATATTCAATGAACCATTTCCATTCTTTATTTGTTCAGGCCAGGTTGCATTCCATTCTGGAGATGGATTTTTTCACGTGGGGTTTTGTGATTCTGATAACACCTTCCTCACCCTACCTGCCCTCCTTATCTTGACTGGTAATATCTGGTCTGACACCTGTCCCCTCCCCTCCTCCTCCCTGAGAAGAGTAAAGCACCATTGAAATGAGGAAGATAAGTGAAACGGCTGGTTTTTAGTGATTATCTGAAGTTTCCCCATAGGATAGCATTGTGGCACTACTGGGTGATATTGTTAATTGAAGATTTCCCTTTAAGGCACCAGCTGAACCTCCCGGGGAAAGCATTCTACAAATGGGGAGCCACTGTCTTCTAAAAGTCAGATATTTATTTCCTTGACATCTGATGGGAGGGCAGGCAGCACTACTGAAAAGGCCTTCTGCCTGGTTTCCTGTAACCTCACTTTGCGCAGGGAGGGAACTGCCAGAAGTGTTGGGATACTGCCAGGGAGATAAAGTCCATCATGGCCCCCAAGCCATCTGCCGGACGATCCATCGACCTCCCGTAGGCACGCAGTATCAGCAATTAGCGGCATGAGTTTCTAGAAAATATCTTGCC